TCTCATCCATCCACCCATCCATCCATCTCATCCAGCCACCCACCCACCTCATCATCCATCCACCCATCCATCCACCCACCCATTTCATCCATCCACCCACCCATTTCATCCATCCACCCATCCATCCATCCATCCATATGGTAGCTCTCATTTTTAATTAAAGTAGTTATATTTCAGGTTCTAGGTGAAACAAAAGAAAACACTACCCATGGCCCAGTCATCCTAACTCTGTTTATTGCTTTTTTTCTTTTTGTAGATGTTTAAACAAGATTTGCTGCATTTCCGGCAATGCCCCGTGCATGCCATGGTCCCCAGACACCTCAGTTCATCGTGGTCCTTGCGGCTTCTCTCTCCAGCAGCATCTCCTGTCCTTTGACCTTAACTCTGACGGCTCCTCACCTCTTGCCAGCAAACCCAAACCCAAGTGCCTTCAGAGGATAAATATCAGTGGAACTTAGAGATGAACATCTAGCCCACTAGAGGAAACCAGTTTGGTGATATACGAGACTTTATGTGGAGTGAAAATTGGGCATGCCATTACATTGCTTTTTCTTGTTTGTTTAAAAAGAATGACGTTTACATATAAAATGTAATTACTTATTGTATTTATGTGTATATGGAGTTGAAGGGAATATTGTGCATAAGCCATTATGATAAATTAAGCATGAAAAATATTGCTGAACTACTTTTGGTGCTTAAAGTTGTCACTATTCTTGAATTAGAGCTGCTCTACAATGACACACAAATCCCATTAAATCAATTATAAAGAAGGTTCAATTCAAATTTGAAGTAATGTTATAATAAGGAGAGATTAGAAGACAACAGGCATAGCAAATGACATAAGCTACCAATTAACTAATTGGAACATGTAAAATAGTTGTAAAAATAAACGAACTCTCCTCTTGTCCTACAATGAAAGCCCTCATGTGCAGTAGAGATGCAGTTTCATCAAAGAACAAATATCCTTGCAAAATGGGTGTGACGCGGTTCCAGATGTGGATTTGGCAAAACCTCATTTAAGTAAAAGGTTAGCAGAGCAAAGTGCTGCGCTTCAGCTGCTGCTTGTGCCGCTGTGGTGTCGGGGAGGCTCCTGCCTGAGCTTCCTTCCCCAACTTTGCTGCCTGAGAGGAGGCAGAGCAGACGCACAGGCTGGAAAAGGCACATCTAACTCATATCTAGGCTTTGGTAACTGTAGACAAGTTGCTTTTACCTAATTTGATAATACATTTCATTAAGGTTCCAGTTATAAATGTTGTTAATATTTATTAAATGAATATAGAATGCAGCTCCACTTACCAATAACTTATTTTAAATATGCCTAGTAACACATATGTAGCATAATTTCTAGAAACAAACATCTAACAAGTATATAATCCTGTGAAAATATGAGGCTTTATAATATTAGGTTGTCATGATGAAGCATGCTAGAAGCTGTAACAGAATAAATAGAGAATAATAAGGAGTTTATGACGGAACCTTAATATATAATGTTGCCAGTGATTTTAGTTCAATATTTGTTACTGTTATCTATCTGCTGTATATGGAATTCTTTTAATTCAAACGCTGAAAACGAATCAGTATTTAGTCTTACCAGGCACACCCAGTAATCAGTCATGTGTGATATGCACAAGTTTGTTTTTGTTTTTTGTTTGTTGGTTTTTTTTTTTCCTTTAAGTTGCATGATCTTTCTGCAGGAAATAGTCGCTCATCCCACTCCACGTAAGGGGTTTAGTAAGAGAAGTCTGTCTATCTGATAGGGGGCAAATCTTTTTCCCCTTTCTGTTAATAGTCATCACATTTCTATGCCAAATGGGAACGATCCATAACTTTAGTCTTAATGTACACATTGCATTTTGATAAAATTATTTTTGTTGTTTCCTTTGAGGTTGATCGTTGTATTGTTGTTTTGCTGCACTTTTTACTTTTTTGTGTGGAGCTGTATTCCCGAGACCAACGAAGCGTTGGGAGACTTCATTAAATGTAGCGACTGTCAACAGCGTGCAGGTTTTCTGTTTCCGTGTTGTGGGGTCAACCGTACAATGGTGTGGGAATGATGATGATGTGAATATTTAGAATGTACCATATTTTTTGTAAGTTATTTATGTTTTTCTAAACAAATTTATCCTATAGGTTGATGAAACGTCATGTGTTTTGCCAAAGACTGTAAATATTTATTTATGTGTTCACATGGTCAAAATTTCACCACTGAAACCCTACACTTAGCTAGAACCTCATTTTTAAAGATTAACAACAGGAAATAAATTGTAAAAAAGGTTTTCTATACATGATCTCTCTCCCTTTTTTAAAAAGAATTAGCAGGGTTTCTCCTGGGGGGAAAGGGGTAGAAGGAATTGGCATTTTGCCTCCTCTAATGTAAGCAGGCCTGCGGTGTGATCACGGGCTATCTCCTCACAAGTCACAGGTTAAAATGCAGGCTGAAGGGCCTGGTGGAGAAGGAAGCCCTGCTTGACACAGGTCTCTGTTCTGCTGAGCCTCCCAGCGCGGTGTGGGATACAACCATTTAGCAATTCATCTCTCCTGCCTCTGCTCATTGTCAAACGAGGGAACAGAACTTTGTAGGGAATTTGGCAAACATGATTGAAATGATTCAGAAAAAGGCAACAGCACAAGGGACCCTCTCCCTAATACGAAATGTTCTTCCCTCTTGACTCATTCTTCTGAGTCAGGCGGAGGGAAGTAGCAGACCCCAGAGGAAGGGCCCACTTCCAACCATAGCACTGTCTAAAAACGGGCCAATCGGGCTCACCAGTTGGAGGAGGCAACGGCAGCAGCACAGGATGCTGGGGTTTCTTTAGCAGTTCCAGCTGTTCTTGTTGGGATTTCTGAGTAGTATGGAGCCAGACACAGGAAAGACTCAGAGAAGAAAAACAGGGAGAGAGGGAGAGAGGGCATCCAGAGAGAAAGGGGAAGAGAGGGAGGGACTGGGGAGAGAAAAAGAGACAAAGAGACAGAGGGGGAGTGTGGGGGAGGGAGGAAAAGAGAGCGAGATGAATACAAACAAGTATATTTGGCTGAAACACGCTGGAGTGAGTCAGACAGTGAAGCAATAAGATATAGGAAAGGCCATCTGAGGCAACAGGCTGTGAACTGAAGGCCCTGGCTTTGAGTTGTGAAATGGGTTTCATTTCATCAGTATGGAGGAAAGAGCTAGATCTACATGTGTAAATGAAAAGTTTAGAAACAAAATAATGATGGCAATGGTAGTGGCTGGTCTATGGACAGCTATTGGAGGAAGCTCAATGCACATTTTACTCATGAAACAAAAAATACATAAACTGTATTGAATAAGGATGCTTAGAAGTCAGGCATTAAATTAGATACATTTCTCGTGCATTCAGGTTTTGTTGTCATTTATCAAAAAGTTGAGGTTTCCTGACAGCCATGTTCCCTGTCGATGGCCTTAGACACATCAGAATGGTTGTCTCCAAGGATTAATCTCTGGTGCCTTTGTGAGCTGACCTGGGAGGAAGGTGTCCCTGGACCTCAATGACTCCGTGCGAGGGCCTGCTCTGTGCCCCTCCATCTCCCTTCTGTGAGCGGCTGCCAGCACACCACCCGAGCTCCGCACCTTCCACCGTGGACAGGGAGGGCCATCGTTCTAGACGCTGCTGCCGCTGCTGCTCACAGGGAAAGGTTCAGCCCAGGCCCACGCTCTGAGAGTCGACTGTACCAGGCTCAACCAGCTCGCCCTCAGGGCAGGCACAGGCCTTGGTCGTGTGGGACAAGTCAGTGGGTGAAATAACACATCTTCATTCCCAAGTACCCAAGCTTGGGATCTGTGATTGCCGGGAGGAGAGAGGCCTTCAAACCGTGACCAACTCACTGGCTGCTGCGTGTCCCAGCTGTTGTAGGCTACATGGCGGGAAGGGGCTCCTTCCATCATTCCTTATGCCAGCTTTGCCCAGCCTGAGTTTCACAAAGTGATGCTTTTGACCATGGAGCAAGTAGTGCCTAGGCCTTGAGGAACGCAGGTGTGGGGTGATCCAGGAGCTGCCACTCAGCTCCATGGCCACAGCCCCGTGGGCTGCCAATACCCAAATGGGAGGGCCCTGCTGAGGGCTGAGATCACCCAGACGAGGCCCTTAGCCCAGGGCAGGTACTGCACTGGTGCTTCCCACCCTCTTAGGAAGCTCCTTCTGGAGCCACCAGCCCGGGGGCCCAGGTGAGGGGCTGAAGCAAGCCTGGACACCCCTGCTTCGCCCGGGTGTCAGCCCTGTGCCCAGCGGAGTGAGCTGCGGGTCCAGAGCAGCTTGCGGCCCACGCAACCGGCGTTAGTTTTGGGGACCGCGTGGGCATTTGTGCCAAGAGGTCCCGGCCCCCAGCTCCCCCCGGCCCCGTGCAGTCCCACAGGGGCCCTCGATTCACCCTTCACCAGCCCTCGCTCAGGGGCCCGGCCCCTCTGGCTCCCCCGAGTCTGCGCTTGGCCCCTCACGGGTAGGGTGGGCGTGGAGCCACGGCTGTCCCTGCCGCGTGGCCCACCCAGGACACCCGCCGACCCTGCAGCCGTAGCAGGACCTCCTGCCAGCTTCTCAGTTCCTGTCTCGGTCCTTTTCAGGCCCTTGAAGACTTTTGCCACTTTTCAGACACTTTTTACCACATAATGGCTTTTTCAACCCCAAAGCACAGCAGAAGCACGATGGGAAGTGATCTTCAACTTTCTGGCTTTCAGCGGACACCCCAGACGCGCGTGGACTGCAGGGCTCGGGTCGGCGCCTCCCTGGGAAGCTGAGCGCGTTCAGTGCCGGCGAGCCCCGCCCGTGCGCCTCCCCCGGAGCCCGAGGCCCCGCCGAGCGCATGCCCAGCCCTCCCTGCGCGCCTGCGCCCTCGCTGCTCTCTCTCCTGGGCCCTGACTCTGGTTGAGTGACAGCCTCACTGCAGGGAAACCAGGAACCTTCAAAAGGTCGATTCTGCAAACAAAATGGTGTAGAGAGAGGAAGAAAGTATTAGTGCAACAAAACTCAATTGCGCCTCGCTTTACGTACGATTTATTTACTTTTAAAATATTTATTTTTTTTTCTGTTTTTAGATTTATTTTTCTACTGAAAAATTGTTTAGTTATCTTGAGGTGGGACAGAATTCTTCATACGACTTTTCCCATTTAAAAATGTAATTATTTTAAAATATGGCTTTAGGAATAAATTACAGTTGTTAAAATGGAGATATGCATTATTTATATTTATGTATAGATTATTGAATGGTATATACGCAAGCAACATACACGTGACTAACATGCATCATGAATACGCAAACCTTCTCCCTTGTCTCAGGCCATACTTATTCTGGATTTTAAAAAAGTAGAAAATTTGACAAACTTTCAGAGAACAAGATCAACACACAGAAATCAGTTGTGCGTCTGTTTAACAGACAGAAACAATTTAAAACGGAAGTTAAAAATACAATACCATTTGCAATAACATACAAAACAATAAAATACCTCATAATAAATCTAACTTGGGAGGCTGAAGACTTGTAGTATGAAAACAGAAAAACAATGCCAAATAAATTAAAGGAAACCTATATAAATGGAAAGACACCTTCTGTGTATAGTTTGGAAGATTTAATTCTAATTGATTATAATACCTGTAGTATTCTTCGGTTATATGTGATATTTTGATATCTGTATAAAATGTGTAATGATAAAGTCAGGGTAACCGGGATACCCATGACCTCATACATTTTTGTATTCTTTGTATTGAGAACATTACAATTCTTCCAGCTATTTTGATATGTACAATAAACTATTAAGTTTAATTTTCCTACTCTACTGCATGTGATAGCTCATTCCTTCTGACTGTATTTTTGTACTCCTTAACCAGCTCCCCTTCATCTTCCTCTCCACCATTCCACCCGAGCAACTGGCATCCACCATCCTGCTCTCAACATCCACAAGACCCACTTTTTTAGCTCCCACATATGAATGAGAACATGCAATATTTGTTTTTCTGTGTCGTGCTTATTTTACATAACAAAACGATCTTCAGATCTATCCATCCTGCTGCAAATGACAGGATTTAATTCCTTTTTATGGCTGACTAGTATTCCATTGTGTAGATATACAACATTTTCTTTGTCCATTCACCTATTGATGAACACTTAGGTTGATTCCATGTCTCGACTGTTTAGTGAGTAGTGTTGTAAAAAACATGAGAGGGCCAATGTCTCTTTGATACACTGATTTCCTTTCCGTCGGATGTATATCCAGCAGTAAGATTGCTGGACCATACCAAACGTAGTTCTAGTTTAGTTTTTTGAGGAACCTCCATACTGTTTTCTCTAGTGGGTGTACTACTTTACATCCCTACCAACAGTGTATGAGTGTTCCTCTTTTTTTCCACCTTCTCATCAGCATTTGCTATTTTTTGTCTTTGTGATAATTCTAAATAGGGTCAGATAATATCTTCTTGTGGTTTTGAATTGCATTTCCATAATGACTAGTGATGTTGAGCCTTTTTTCATATATGTGTTGGCCATTTCTTTTGAGAAATGTCTATTAGGTCTTTTGCCCAGCTTTTAATTGGGTTGTTTGAGTTTCTCATATATTCTGGTTACCAATCCCTTGTTGGATGGGTAGTTTGCAAATATTTTCTCCCATTCTGTGGGTTGTCTCTTCACTTTGTTGATTGTTTCCTTTGCTGTGTGGAAGCTTTCTGGTTTGATATATATATTATTTTTCTATTTTTGTTATAGTTGTCTGTAATGTTGAGGTCTTACAAAAAAATCTTTACCCAGATCAATGTCCTGGAATTTTTTCTCCCTATTATTTTTTAGTAGTAGTTCTATCGTTTTGGGTCTTGCATTGAAGTCTTTAATCCATTTCGATTTGATGTATGTAGACGGTAAAAGAGGGGGGTCCCGATTCATTTTTCTGCATGTCTAACTTTCCCGGCAGTATTTATCAAAGAGACTGTCCATTCCCCAATGTATGTTCCTGGTGTCTTTGCCAAAAATAGGTGGCTATAAATGCGTGGATTTATTTCTGAATTCATCATTTTATTCCATTGGTCCACACGTCTCTCTTAGTGTTGGTACCGTGCTGTTCTGGTTGTAATAAACACGAGAGGGCCGATTTCCTTTGTCCATTTTTCCTTGTTGACTGTGATATTAAATGTGGGTGTGTCATATATGGACTTTCTTGTGCTGAAGTACATTCCTTCTATACCTTATTTGTTGAGAGTTTTTTAAAAATCAAGAATGGATGTTGAATTTTATTAAATACCTTTCAACATCTATTGAAATGATCATATGGTTTTTGTCCTCAATTCTGTTGATGTGCTATGTCATGCATATTGATTTGCACATGTTGAACCATCCTTACATCCCTGTAATGAATCCCACTTTATTACAGTGAATGATCTATTTAATGTGTTGTTAAATTCAGTTTGCTAGTGTTTTGTTGAGAAGTTTTGCATCCATGTGTATTAGGGTTATTGGCCTATAGTTTGTGTGTGTGTGTGTGTGTGTGTATGTGTGTGTCCTTGTCTGATCTGGCAACAGGATAATGCTGGCCTTACGGAATGAGTTTGAAAGCATTTCCTCCTTTTCAATTTTTTGAAATAGTTTGAGTAGAACTGGTATTACTTCCTATTTAAGTGTTTGACAGAATTCAGCAGTGAATCCATCAGGTCTTGAGGGCTTTTTCTTTTGATGGGAGATTTTTCATTAGTGCTTTAATGTTGTTACTTATTATTGGTGATTTCTTGATGGTTCAATATTTGTGGGTTTTATGTGTGTAGAAATTTATTCATTTCTTACTATTGTTTTCCAATTTGTTGGCATGTAGTTTCTTAGCTTCTAATTATCTTTAGAATTTCTGTGGAATCAATTGTGATATTTCCGTTTTTATCTCTGCTTTTATTTATTTGGGTTTTCTCTCTTTTTCACTCGGTCTGGCTAAGAGTGTCAAATTGTGTATCTTTTCAAAAAACTAACATTTTGTTTTGTTGATATTTTGTATTATTTTAGTTTCAATTTTATTTATTTCTCTTCTGTACTTCATTACATCTTTCTTTCTATTAATTTTGCTTTTGGTTTATTCTTACTTTTCTAGTTCCTGCAGTGCATTGTTAAGTTGTTTATTTGAAGGCTTTCTACTTTTCTGATATAGACATTTATCACTGTGAAGTTCCCTCTTAAAAATATCCCATAGCTTTTCATGTGGGTGTATTTCCATTTGTTTGTTTTAATACATTTTGTAATTTCTTTCTTAATTTCTTTATTGATCCATTAGTCATTCATGAGCATGTTGTTTAATGTCCACATATTGTACAGTTTTGAAAGTTCCTCTTGTTATTGATTTCCAGTTTTATTCCATGTGGTCAGAAAAGATACTTGATATGATTTCAACTGTTTTAAATTTCCTGAGACTTGTTTTGTTGCCTAACATGTGGTCTATCCTGAAGAATGTTCCATGTGCTCAGGAGAAGAATATAAGTTCTTTAGCAGTTGGATAAAATATTCTGTAAATGTCTGTTGGGTCCATTTGATCTAGAGTGTAATTTAACTCCAATGTTTCTTCATTGGTTTTCTGCCTGGATGATTTGTCCCCTGTTGAAAGTGGGGTGTTGAACTATCCAACTATTATTGTGTTGCAATCTATGTCTCCCTGTAGTTCTATTGGTATTTGCTTTATATATTTGCATGCTGTGGTGTTGAGTGCTTATTTATTTATTTCCTCTGGCTGAATTGATAAATTCCCTTTATCATAATTTTCTTTGACTCTTTCTACAGTTTTTGACTTAAGATCTATTTTATCTGATATGAGTACAGTTACTCCTGCTGTTTTTTTGGTTTGCATTTGCATGAAATATCTTTTTTTATTCTTTCACTCTCAGTCTATGTGTGACTTTATAGATATAATGAGTTTCTTGTAGGCAGCACATAGCTGATTCTTCCTTTGAAAAAAAAGTCATTCAGCCACTCTATGTCTTTGAAATGGATAATTATTCCATTTACATTCAATGTTATTATTCATAGGTAAGGACTTTCAACTACCATTTTGTTATTTGTTTTCTAGTTCTTTTGTAACCCTTCTCTTCCTTTCTTCTGCTTTTTTCTGCCTTCTTTTGTGGTTAAGTGGTTTCTTCTGGTTGTATGTTTTAATTCATTGCATTTTATTTTTAGTGTACCGATTACAGGCTTTGGCTTTGTGGTTACCATGATTCTTACAAAAAGCATTCTATAATTATAAGTAGTTATTTAAAATTGATACCAACTTAACTTTATCACAAATGAAAGAAATAACCAGGAAAACCTGTATACATTAACTCCCTTCTCCCACCACATTTTAAATCTTGATGTCACAATTTGTATTTTTAATATTGTCAATTTCTTAAATAGTGTTGTATTCGTTTTTACTTCAATTGCTTTTCCTTTTAGTCTTCTTAGTAAATACACAAATAGTTTACACACCACGATTGCCATATTAGTGTAGCAATCACATTGGCATTATTTTCTTTCAGTTTTAAGAACCCCCTCTAGCATTTCCTATAGAACATGTTTGGTAGCAACACATTTTCTCAGCTTTTGTTTTTCTGGTCAAGTTTTTATCTCACCTTTATTTTTAAAGGGCATATTTGCTGGGTTTAGTATTCCTGGTGGGCAGTATTTTTTCTTCAGCACTCTGAATATATTGTCCCATTCCCTTCCTACCTGTAAAGTTTCTGCTGAAAACTCTGCTGCTAGACATATTAGATCTTCCTTATATGCCATTTCCTACTCTTCTCTCACACTTCTCTCACTTTCAAGAGCTTACCTTTGTTTTTGACCTTGGAGTGTACTTGTAGCATGTTTTGGGGTATTTTTAATTTGGTGGAACCTGACTGGTGACTTTTGACCTTCCTATACCTGGATATTCATATCTTTCTCCAGATTTGGAAAGTTTTCTATTATTATTCATAAGTAATAATGATAATTATTATTTTAAGACAGGATCTCAAAAAAAAAAAAAAAAAAAAAGACAGGATCTCACTGTTGCCTAGGCTGGAGTGCAGTGGAGAGATCCTGGCTTACTGCAGCCTTACTCTCCCAGGTTCAAGGGATCTTTCCACCTCAGCTTCCCAAATAGCTGGAAGTACAGGCATAAGCCGTCATGCCTGACTAATTTTTTAAAAAGTGATTGGAGACATAAGAACTCACTTGTGTTGTCTAAGGT